AACAGCAGCAGATGACAGAAGCCAGAGGACTGCATGAGGCTTGGTAGTGTATTGGTAACACCCTGTCTTGGGGGCACACCCCAAGGGACATACCCCTAATACAAGGCTCTGGCAAACATCACACCTCTCTAGAGAGCACCTGATGCTGGCAAATAAGACTCTCAGAAGTGAGTTACCTACTACTATCACCTCTCTCCTTCTCTTAGTTGCTGTCATTGTTACATGGGGAGGTTATGGGGTCAGGCTCCTTACTCAGCTCCAGCATCTCTCCTGTGCGATGTGTCTCTCCTTACTCAGTCTGCATAGCAGTGAAGCAGTTCTGCAGGGGCACCTCAGGTTTTGGGGAGGTGTCTTCCTCCTGCAGGTCCTTGCTTACATTGTGCAATGTTATTGCTCTCCCTCCCTTCTGTTTGTGCCAGTGGGGGAAGTTTTGGCTCTTTGGTCATGGGCTGTGGGTCTGCTGCAGACTGCACTTGGAAGCAGCTATGCAACTCCACTGAACCAGCTATACAACTCCTTCTCAGCCACCCCGATGCTGTGCAGTCTTCCTGCTGCCTCCTGCAGCTCAGCCACCTGCCACAGGAGCTCCTCCACCTGGCACACCTTTGGCAGGCAGGTCTGCTGTCCTGTCCCTGCCTCAGGAGAAGCCTCTATTCCCTTTCTGCAGTCTGAGTTCTGCACTGCAGTCTTGTCCTTCAGCAGCCCTGCCTGCAGGGAGGCATTGGCCACTATCAGGACAGATGGTGCAGATCCCCCATCACAGCTGCAGCCTTGCTCTCAGATGAGTGCCCTGACCTGTGCAGATGGCCACAGAATGGAGCTTGGCTGCTGGTGGACTTCACGTGCCTGTGCTTGGCCAGTGGATGTCCCACCTCTGTGTTGTCACCTTCCCTGCACACCCTGCCGAGCAAACTGCTACACCATGATCTGTCTGCCTGCCCTGGCCACGTGCTCCTGGCCACAGTGCTCACTAGGGCTGCCTCCTTTGGGAAGAGGGGTTGGCCACCATTCCTCCTGGCCTCGCACATGCCACTCTCATAAGAGCAGCCCGCTCCTGGTGGGTCTCTGTGCCCCCCTGGCCTTCCCTGGCTGAGGAAGGAGCTCACATTCCCTGTGAGCCACTCTCCCCTGCTCTGCTCTAGAACACACCTGCACCAGGGCTGATCACCTCTGTGGATGTCACATCTCAGTCCTGTCATCAAGTTGCTCATTTCCCTAAAACACTGGAGCATACCTCCTCAAATACATAATATGTGTAATTGCTCCATATAGACCTTAAAAATATTATACCTTATTATCTCTATCACCACATAATCAGCATGCAAAATCAAACATTTTTTTTCAGATGAGATAACCATGGTTCTCTTGAGGGCACTAACTAATGTAGTTATTCCCTCTTGCACACAATTAAAATTCAACTATAAAACAGAGAGTATGAGACATTTACATAAAAAACTTCAATACTGAAAACCAAAAGCTCTTGTTCAGAAACCCAAATGCAGATTTTGGAATCAAAATTTTTAGAACACTGCACTATCTTCCACTGTTTAGCCTAGTACACTTCTCTAATTTTATTATGAAATTACTGCTAATGCATGAAAATACTGTTTATTATGGTACTTAGATCAAATTATACATAAGCAATCATTAATATTTTTCTTTTCAGCATGTTAAAAATCTTGTCATATCCCTTTAACATGCTGTTTAAGGAATATTCCTAAAGATCAGAAATTGTTTGCTATTACATCACTTTGGAATTAATTACTCCAAATAAATCTGTGAAAAGCGAAAGAAATAAGCAATTTATTTTATTTTTTTCAAAGCAATAAAATAAGAACTAGTGCAAGGGTGCAAATCTAACTGCAGTTCACCCATCCAGAAACAGAATACTGACTTCAAAGCTAGATAGTGAGATCTGACTGAATTTTTTCAATGAGTTTGAAATTTTCAATTACAAATATTACTATTATTATTATTACATGGAGAACAAAATACATAAAAATAGATGATTCATTTACCAGGCTGTATCCCCTACTAAATTCAACTGATACATATTGGCACTTTACACAGACTAAAAACTGACTACTGTAGAATTTAACCTAGTAACATTACTAAATCTCTAGGCTGAACTTTGAAAAGCCAGTTAGGTCATACATAAATCAAACTGTGCTTCAGAGATCACTGCTGCAACTCTGCCCTTTGCATTCAAAATGTTCAATCAGACTTCAGCATTTTATAAGACGAAAAAGTATTTTCACTTGGATAACAAGAGAGTTATTCTGATGATAGAGTTTTCTGGAATGTTGGATGAAAGATTTTTTTATTTAAAAACATTAACTTGTGGTATCTGGAAAAATGTGCATCATAGGCCAAAGCTATGACAGATGATTGCCTGCCTTTAAAAGCTGCCTCTGTATGTGCCAAGAAGGGTTCCCTCTGAGCCTGGGTGAGACAGAGGGCATCAGCTTTCACTTTCCCACTTTGAATTAAGCCTAGGCTCAAACACACATCGACTCTGTGGGTTAGATATGTTCCAAATCCCGCTTTGCTGTTCTTCATACAACTGCTGGGCATGGATACCCAGGCTCTGCAGCTCACAGGCAACGTGCCCACAAATGTTTTCAATCCCAACAGCCCAGATACTTGTGCTGATGAACTGCAAAGCTTAGACCTGAGCTAGATCTTTCAAACTCAGTTCTTCATCAGTGAGAATAGATGCTTTAGGCCTGAGGCATATCCAAACCAAATTGTCCACAGTTTTGCTGGAAGCCTGTCAGGCTGTGAGCAGCCTGAACTCCAAACCACCAACCAAGGACTTTTGAGCTTCTGAGATGGATGTGAGGAATCTGCCCTGAGGTCACAGCCCTTGGGAAACTGGCAGACCCTGCTAGCTAAATGGTGATGCTCACAAGAATGACAACTGTGGCTCCAGGAGGACATGCTCCTTCAAGAACACCACATTTCTGTGACATGTTCAAAAAACTGTGTCACCGCTGGTGAACTGAAAGCCCCAGTCTGTGATGAGGCCTAATCCTTACATTCAGCTGCCCACAAAGTACAGGCTCCCTTACACCCTTCCACTGTGTGCTCTGAAGGTTTGTCCATGCACACTGAACGTGCTCTTCACCCCTAGGACAAGGCATGGCCCCTCAGACTGGAGCTCCTGTTCCCCATCCATAAGGATTAGGGCTGGTGTACAAGGACAAGCACACAGCTGCTCACTCCTGGGTGCCTCTATGTGTGAGGAAGGCAGGCCACGGTATAGACACCAACTATTGCACTTCAGTTTGGACATACAACATAAACTGGGGTTATGGTGGAAATGCAAAGAATCAGGCTTAGCATGAGCTCCTCTGCCTCCATGAACCAGCAGCTGTTTTCTCATACACAGCTTCAGAGTTCTTGAGTGAATGAACTACTGTGCTCTATTGTTAAGGCTGCAACGTGTCCATTAGCAGAAGATAATCGGCCACCCCTAAGATGTGGTTGATTAACTTTCATTAAAGCCAGTGAGGTTGACAATCCTGTATGAAGCAGCTACATATCTGGCTCTGCATAGCAAATGAAAACACACTGAACTTTGTTAAATATACTTAAATACAAAAAGAGTAGTACTTTTTCATTCTGCTCTGGTTAAAATGAAATATAATCAGAAAGAGAGTTGAAAAATAACTAGCATTGTTATATTTTTAGATAAATCTGAAAAATAAGTCTTATACATGCAACTCATTGGTGCTTCTTATATCCAAAACAATAATATCTTTAAATATCACCTTAATGGAAGAAAATGTTACTTTAAAATTTCAAGAAACCAGCTATTTTACTGTAAATATAAAAAATAAATACTCTAAGGAATGGAAGAAAAAAAAGCATGTTCAATAATTTCATTACATTCTAAAATGCCAAATCATCTGTGAGTGGTTTCTTTTTAGATGAAAAGAAATCAAAATACAGGACAGATGTTGGACAAACCACATTTGAGGTCTATCACACACTGGCATTTTTCAAATTATTTTGGCTCATCTATTGAATAAGGTGTATTTTGCTTGATTTTGAAAAGGGAAACATCAGGAAATATTTAAAGGCCAATTGCTGCCAATTAACTTTGATCAGCAAAAGTTGCATTTGAATCTTTTAGATTCTTTTGCTGTCTGGAATAACACACTATTCTAAAATCTAGCAAAACAACAACTTGATGATTAATGTGTGTTGGCAGTCCCACCACAAGCTTGCTTAACAGCTGGATTTTAAATAAACAGCTGTCTTCACTATGATGGGAAAGAAGTCTGACTGTTTTCATGTTTTTCTGTTATTAAAATGTGATCAGAAATTGCTTTTTTCCCTTTTAAGATGAAACAGCCAGGCATTAGAGTGACAGTCTCTTTCAGCAGTTTGGAGAGCTTTGGAGGATCTCCCAAGCATTGCCAAACCATAGGCTGTGCAGGCTAAAAAACCCCTTGGCAAGGCAGCCACAGCTCCTCTCTGCAGGCAGAGGGACCCTGGCACAGAACACCCCGTGCCTGCTGCACACAGCAGCCCCAGGAACAGCCCACAGACAGCCCATACAACATTTATCATGTCCCTTGGCTAAGGTAACACTTGCCCACCATGGGACGTAAGCAAGAAATCTGCACCTAGCCATCAACTGTTTATAGAAGCTGGAGTTTAATATTTAATGGCCTGTGCAGACTATTGAATTCTGTATGGTTATAGGCTCCTTTGGTGTATCCACTTCTGAAACTTGTCTACTGTCATCATAAGTGCTAAAACCTGTGAGGACAAAATTCTACCATTTAAGCTGCAGTAACCTTTGAAGGCCAGTTCAGACATTTAGCGTAGATATTATTATATATCCTAATGACTAAATGATATAATTGTTTTCTAAGCATTTGGGTATTGAAACTCTGCAAATAATTGTCAAAGCATCTAACAACACATAAAACCAGACAAATATTAAATATTAGATCATCTCTGTGTGTTTTAAAAGAATGAACACTTACTTCTAAATCGTTAAAGAATAGATGTGTGTCCGCCAAATTGAAAATCATCTCTTCCATTCGCAGTCCAAGGGACACAGAAGTGGGAGGATCCTTAAAGAAGAAATTAAGCAAGTACACCATCAATACTGTGCCTAACACATATACCCAAATACAAACTGGAGGAACAGCTTTTCATAACATAATACTTGTATCAAATGCAACATCTGCTTTGTCAGTTTCAGTTCAGTAACTCTCTTACCCTGTACTACAGCACTTCCCAGTAACACTCAAAAATATGCCTTAAACTCAACTGACTCCTTGATTTTGCAGTGGGACTTCTGTGGTCCCCCTCATGCATCCCTGCCACTGGCTCTTTGATCTCTGTGCAAATCCATTTCAGCTAAAACTTCTCCAGATTCTACAACTGCTCACAAGTTTTATGATCAAGCAGGGGTATGATAACACTATTGTTACTCAAAATAAACTGGTCACAAATGACAGGATTCAGCCCTGGGAATACCTAGTGACTTTAAAGCAAAGAACTATTGATGTTTCATTTGCAAATGGTAATTCTATTTAAAACCACTCCTTGATTGTCAAAAAAGCTTTAATTATGTTTCCAGTTTGGCCCACCCATGCAGAGTGAACAAAACTATTGTTTGTTATTAATACATAACACACTTTAACTTCTCTACAGAAATTACCGTAACAACTTACTCCTTACTGAGCTAATAAACTCAAAAAGCATGTTCAGCGTTGTGGTTACCAAATGCATTACAGATGTTTGTCTTGTTTTGATTTTTTTGTTGCTTTATATATTTTCAATCTGAAAAATCAAAAAGAGAGCCTAATACATACGTTTGATATAGAGTTTCTCATTTATAATGCCAAGTCTATCCAAGAGCACAGGAGCATGAGTTTGAAAGAACATGTTAAATTATCCCATAACAGCCTCTATTAATAATGTTAGTTTGTTAGGAATTGTATTTTAAATAGAACTGAAGAAGTGACAACACATATTTTACTTAAAATAAGCTAATATTCTAAACTTGATGACAAGTCACAGTTAAAAAGCAAGAGATGCAGTCCTTAGTTTCTTTTTCCACCTCTAAATCAAATTAATAGATGCTTCAACATGATCTCTGAACTTTCAAACATTTTTCTATAACTACTGGTTAAAAAGGCAAAATGCGTCACTAGTGAAGAGCTGGAAAAGAATGGTGATTTGGCAGCCTGTCTGCCTTCTGGAATTGCCAAAACCCAAGAACTGCTATCCAGAGAAAGAATTTTTGAAATTTCAAAGCAGAGCAACACTGAGCAGACAAAACATCTATTCTTGAACTCACATCCATTAAGTGCAAGATTTTTAAAATAAAAAAAAAAAAAATAACCCTTATAACTGGGGAAAAAAATTGCATCATGCTATTTTGATGAACTTTGCCCTTAAAAATAAGTCTTTTATTTAAACTGGCACAGCTAAAAAAAAAAAAAAAAAAATAAAAAGAATATTTGGCTTCTTAGTTCAAATGGAAACACTTTGAAATATGAACAAAAGTATTCTGTCTCTCTGTTTTAATATTGCTCTATTTGTAGACCTATGCTTTCCTCTGCTTTACTTTTGTAGGCATGTGAGGTGGAAAGCAGTTGGTATTTTCTCTCTAGCTGGGCCTGAGGCTTCTTCTCCCTTTGACATTTCTGCTTATCTTTGTGCCCAGTTAGCATCTCATCATCCTACACAGCTCATCGGGCTTATTTTTTTTTAAACAAAGATTTCTGTTGTGTCTGAGCAGTAACAGAAAACACCTCTCAGGAGCCTCTGCTGTAGTTATTAAAGGAATCAAATGGGCTAAAGGTCTAAGATGCAAATGAAGATCCCTAGCTACATCTTGAGTCTCAACTGCTAATGCAACAAGGTAGAAATAATTCCCTTCTGACTTCCATCCCTAAACAGCAACATCATTTTGAAAAGCAGAATAAATGAGGAACAGAGCATGATACTGATTATGAACTCATTTGACTGATTTTGCAGCCAGACTAATGGCTGCAAATATATATTTTACATTTCAGTGTACATGACTTGCTTTTATTATTATTGAACATTTTTATCACATTTCTGAGTCTGTAAAAAGAGGATTTTGTCTGTAAAAAGATTTCTACCCATTTTACTCCAAGATATTTTTACATGGCAGAAATAAAACAGAATGGTTTTCTCCAAAGTAATACTAAAATAATGTCATTTATTAGGTTAATCTAATTAGACAGAAAAAATGTAAGAAACTCGTTGGCACCTACTGAAAGTGTCAGATTAAATAAATTCAAACTAAATGGATTGCTTTTCAAAGAAAGCTTACCTCCTAGTTTAAATACAATATTTTTATATAGGAAGTTCTACTTAACACAAAAACTATGTTAAACTCTGGCTCTCGGTAGCTACATTTTTAACAGAAGCAAAAACCTTATCTGCATTAACATTTTAAATATCTGTGTAGTCACAAACTTGCAACTGCTCTAATGAAAAGCACAAGAACCTTGGTTTAAAGCATCGTAGTATATCAAACTCTGCCATCAGACATTACAGTGGGGGCAGTAAACTTTAGAAAAAAGATGAGCCTAGAACAAGGTTTTAAAAAAATAATCCCATACCCAACCTTCTTTTGCACTTTTAAGCCACTAATTGCTAACTAATTACTGCGAGGTGTCTCACAATGAGTAGGAAAGCTAACAATCTCTTCTTGTTGCCTGGGATTTGCAGGTTCAGTCAGTGTCTTTTCAGGTATGGTCAAAATCAGGTACAAATCTCTGAGGGAGGTGCAGTTTGACTAAAGAAAAGAAATACCAATGTCAAACTGCTTAAGTAGGCCTTTTGTTTTGAATACTGGCATTGGAGCCAAAACATTGCCTGTATGTCATTTCTAAATTCTACCTACTTGATTTCTTTGTTTTGTGGAGAAACAAGAAGCTGAAAAACAGGAAAGTTCACTTTGGGTACCAGGCTTATTTTCCACTTAAGCCTACAGGTCACAAATGAAGGGTTAAGTGAAACCAGGCTTTGTTTTCCTCTATCTCTAAAGTATATTAAACCACAATAAAATAGCTTACAATTTAAAGGAAAATTCCTTTAAAACCTCTGCATATAACTGCTTTCACTGATGGAAATGTATGCAAAGACCACAGTATTCCATGCCAATGCTGATCACCTGCTCCAAGATCTTAAAGGGCTCCAACTTTTTCCAAATGCCAAAACTTAATCAGCCCTAATGTCAATTAAACTAACTGGTAACTTTATATTTGATCAATACATTTCTCTCTGTACATAGTTAAAAAAATTCAAAAGCAAATGAAAATGTTTTGGGTTTTTTTGTCTAATCTTCTGGAAGGGCATATTCTTTGAGTTTCATACATTTCCATTAAAATCACTAAATTCAAATTATCCTTAAATAAAAATTAATGTTTTATGGAATAATTTTTGCCACGAATGTGTAAACTGAAAAATAAAGGTGTTATTATGTTACAAAAAAACTGAAGGAAAAAAGCAAGAGGAAAATAGAGCAGAATAGCAGCTAAAGGAGAGCAGGTGATAAAAACAGATGCAAAAGTAAGGAGATACAGAAAAAAGTGGTACAAGGAAGAAGTTAGGAAGAATGAGGGAGAGAATTAGGCAAAGAAAATCAATCCCTTCAGCAGCAAGGCCAAACATCATTCATAGTCATTCACCATGAAATTCACTCAGGCATTATGAAAAGAGCTGAATGCCAAGTTGCCAAATCCCCTATTATTTAATTAGGACATTTTTGTTTGTTTGAAGATCCAGCTTTTGTATTTTAATGATTATGTGATCACCCTAGATTTAATTTTTTAAAATGGCATTTCTAGCCCTCACCATAGCACAGATTTATAAGAGAACATGATGTTGGGTTGCTCATAAGCGAGAATACAGGTGAAAAGAACAATAATTCCCCTCAACTTTCATTTTTTTCAGATTAACTAATGGTCCAGATTTCTGATTTTAAAGGTCATTGACCAGAGGCAAACCCTCTTTTAAAAACATGCACCTTCTGCTGCCACAAATAAACCCTAAAATTCTCATGTTTTAGCATGTTTGCCTTGAACATTTGACACTGTCTCTCTAACATCCCTGGAAATTGCTAACTGTTGTCTGAAGCTGTCAATAACCCAAGAAAAACTCTGATTTGAATGAAACCTTAAGAAAACAAAACCAGAATGGCAGTTTTATGGCATCATCCGGGAGCCACGGACAGGCATGTTGCTAACCCCTCACCAAAAAGATTTTGTATTTATCCAAAGATAAAGCAGCAATGCCATCATTCCTCTCACCATCAACAGTTGGCTGTCATTTAGCAGTGCAGGAATATTGTGCCAGATGCCATGAAACCAGAGCCAGCTGGGCAAAAGCTGCATCTTATGTAAACAGTGCCAACAGTGATGGAGCTGCACCCAGGGGTCAGCCTCCTCTTTGCAGCACACATATTTATATCTCTTTGCAATTGAATCCCAGCCACTTTCCTCAACTTCAACCATCCAGCAATAAAGTGTTTATGTTCAGGTTCTAATTAATGAATCCACTACAGGGAACTAGTAACAAGTGGAAAAAATATGCTCACATTAGTACTTCTATGGCAGTGACTAATTAATTAGGCTTTTCCAGCGCTACTCTGCTGGCCAAAAGCCAGTGGTGAGATTCTGTTGTCACTGAGCTTTTTTGTAAGCATTGGGATTTGTTCTCCTCATTCTGAACTAAATTGTCATAGATTTTGGGATACCACACAAAAGCTGGTTTTAGTTTGAAAAATGGAAAGCAACTTTTGGTAAATATTTAATATTCTTCTGTAAGTGCTTTTTTCCATACATATCCATACAATAATTGTTGAAACATTTAAGTTCTAGTTTCTTTTTACTACCTAAATATAAACTAACAACACCTAGGAAACCAAGGTTGCTGAATTAACTAAATATAAACTAACAACACCTAGGAAACCAAGGCTGCTGAATTAACTTGCTTTTCTGACATATAATGAAAAAAACCTAATTATATTCTTTAAACAGGTACACTGTTATTACAGTAAACACTTCTGCAAACAAACCTTACCTGAACAAGCAAGAAAGGTTGCAAAGTAGTATTGCTTTAGACTTTTATAGTGCAAAAGCTATTGAGAGAAACTCAGAACCTGACCCAGGCACAGACTGAACTGGAGGTAGCTTTGCCCTTCACTCATCTGGGTGCAGGGTAAAACCTTTTAGTGCTAAATAGAAGCTTTACAAGAAGACATAGGCATTACACAAAGCCAGACAAAGCTATGTAGCTGTTCTTTACACATAAAAATTTTTGAGGTTAACAAAAAATCACATTGCAATTTTAACTCACAGGAGGTGAACATAAAAGGCTATAACAGATTTTAGCACAAGCTGTTAACTTTCATATACAATCCTGACAAAAAGAACTCTGATCTCATAAGGACATTCCTTCCATAAACTGTTCTTATTCACCAAAAATCATGTTTGTCTTCTGAGAATTACAAGGAAATCTGCTGTCTGCAGACATATTCATCAGTCCAGTTATGATTTATAGACTGTGCATAATATAAAGATTTGACTCATGAGCAGACTTTTGAAAACATCAGTCAATATTTAGATTAAAAAAAAAATCAAAGGTAAAAAATTTTAGATTAATCTGGCCATGTCCAAAAGCATTCTTCCTCTTTCCCTCTCAATACAGAGCACAGCCAATCCATCATAGCAATCATTCCTGGAACTCTCTGAGGGGATGCAGATCTTTGCAGATTTTGATGATGTCAAAAGGTTTCAGACAACCTGTATCTACAAACCAAACCTCAAGTGGTCAAAGTATTAAGTTTGAGTATCACAAGTATCAAGTAACCCAACATTATTTAAATATGTACTGAACACAAGAGCTGAGCAACTGCAAAGCCTAGACATGTGAAACAGCTTGATATTTTTTTTGTCTTGTAAGGCCAGTACCAGTTTGCCTCTAAAATTCAACTAATGTTCTGGTATTCCTTGTGTATCAACCATAAACCAGCAAATATTACTGAACATTTCCATCAGTTTCTTGACACTTACCCTTCCATATCTGTTAGCATAGGACCCTGTAAGCAAGGAATGGAAAATGATGATTGTCTCATCCAAATCCCAAATGAATACTCTCTGTAAAAAGAGAATCAAATCAATGTGTTCCTTTGTGAAGCTAATACTTGAAATGGAAAATTAAAATTTGAATCAGTAAGCACAAAAATGGGAAAATTGTACTGATATGGTTGCATATTAAAACCATAGCTTCCCTGCCATTTATTTTCAAAACTAACAAGATTTTTTTTTGAGGGTAGGGTAATACAATCTGTTAGCTTTTTACTACAATTGTTATTATATCCTTCTATTAGAATAGAATTATAGTATAGTCAAATATACACAGAAAATGAGACTGTACAATGTAATTTCTGAAGCTTGATGTGAGATAGAAACAAATAAACAAAGAGAAGCATCTGGAAACTAAATCCTTGGGGTTAGAATTCTGTATTTCTGCAAGTCTTACAAAACAAAAGTCTTACAAAAATTCATGTGAGTGCCCTTGAATATTACCTCTGAAACCAAAACAAAGCAGATTGCTGCTAAGCACTTTATTTCTTTATAAAATTAACTTATGTTAATTTCATGCATTTTAGGCAGCTGATGAAGAAAAACTATGAGCTTGGATGATGTATGCATAAAACTTATGGCCTCAGTAAATAATTCTTTTGCTTAGAGACAATGGAAAATACATGTTTTAAATTTGTTCTCTGACCACACACAAAATGATAACTTAATGAAAAATAAAGTGTTCAAATACAAACATTTAAAATCCTGGTGAGATTGTATTTCCCATGATGACAAATGATGTAAAGCTTCTGGAAAGGAAAAGTAATGCAGTGTGGTCACTCATAGCTGTGGTGTGTCATTGGAGATGTGTTCTCAACATAAACCATGGGCCACGGGGAGGAATGTGAACAGGGCATGGGAGAACAAACCCCACTATTGTGCTAGAAGTGTCTCTTGTCCAATTAAAAACCTTTCTTTGCCTTGGGAAAAGATTGCTCCTCTTTTTTTTTTCTTTTTTTTTTTCCCCATTTGGTTTGTTTTGGTTTGTTTGTTTGTTTGCTTTGTTAATCAAAAGGAGAAAGAAACACCCAGTATTTTTCCAAGGAAGTAGAAGCTCTTCCTGAAGAAGGTTCTTTAGAAGAAAAATCCTATTGTCTATGGAAATACTGTTAGGAGAAAGGGAGTTTCAATGCCACTTTATTTTTGATGCATAAATAACACTTCATGTGTTCATGTGAAATAATGATAAAAACAAAGTTCTGTAACAGGCCAAAGACATTTAATATATAGTACCTCCAGGTCAGAGTCAGGTGGTGGTGAAGGATTATTGTTTCTTCTGCCACGTCCACGTGATTTCCCATCTGAGCTCCGACGCAATCTGTCTGAGTCTGAATCTTTAATGGGGGTGGATGGACTGTGGATTGTGCTGTATTCTGTCACAGTAAAGAAAGAACACTTTTACCCTTCAGTTCAGCATTCAAAATGTTCAGCTTACTTGCTCAAACCCAGTCCTAACTAGAATAATTTGCTCTTACCAAACCCAGTCCTAACTAAAATAATGATATATAAAACAGTAAGTGGTCATATTGATTCATAAATGAATTCAATCCAGCTCAAATTATATGTAAAAAGAGTGACAAACGATTTCAGTAAATGCCTATAAAAGACTCAGGAGATAAAAACTTCATTGCTTCATTCCTTCAATTATTACAAGATTAAGCAAACAATTTTAAGGGATGCCAGTTTTTCATAAAACAGCATTAATTTAACTCTAACTTTTCAAACTTAAATACCTTAAATGCTTTAAAATAACTGTTATGGTGACAGGTAAGAAAAATCCAACCAGGTGTGAAAAAAGCCCAGAAAAATATAAATTGAAAAATTTTCCAAATTGCCTAGTTGGACACACTTAGATTGCTACGTTTGAGCCAGAAGAGTAGGATTATTCCAAGATATAGCATAAACCAGAATATTTATTTTCCTACAGTAATTTAAATGAATAAGTGTTAAATATGCATCAACTGAAGATGAGATTTCAAGTATTTTTAAAGGCCTAATCAACACTGAACATTTCCAATGAGTACCTTCAAGACAGGATACAAATCTTTACAAACAGTATTGCATGCTAATTATTATGCCACATTTATTTATAAGAATATTTACTGTTACTGAACAGCCGTAAAAAGAGAGATGATTCATGTAGATAAGAACAGCAGAGTTTTTCTGAAAACATGCAAATTTGAAGATATTTTGCTACTCTTAACATCCATATCATAGTGAATGCTTGTACATTAACAAAGCATACACTGAGCATCAGTTTTCCTTCCCATTAATTTAATTAGCAGTACCATAGTCCTTAGAAATGCAACAACACATTTTTAAATCTCTTTTGAAAACTTCCTTTCATAGTCTGAATTTCAGAAATACTTTTATTTTGATGGTCACCATGATTTCTTTTTGTTTTTCCTAAAAACACTACTTTATGAAGACAGCGGCAACTTTTATGTTTCTCAATTTTACTGCTCAGTTAATATTAACTGCTCTTTAGAGCTCAGTAGATGCAAAATTTTTAATTTGAATCTGCCTAGACCACAACATTCCAGCTTGAACAGACAGGTATATTTCTCACACAAGGGATTCTCTCTCCTAGGAAAACATCCTGTTGAGGTCAAAGGTTAAATTAAGGAGGAGACTCTGGACATCTGTGTAACACCACATATGCACAATTACTCCAAATAATAACAGTTACTTGTGCTGAATGAAAGGAAAAGGTCTTGAAATTCTCATGCTCAGCCTTCAAATCTACACTTATTGATAATTAGCATAGCTCACATATTTCACCCTATATATTTACCTAAATATTTCAGACTACATCAAACAAAGTAGAACAAGTTAAGATGTAAGTCAAAGTTAAGCAGAGAATCCTCTGAAAACATTTGACTTATACTAAAACCCCATAAAATAAACAGACCAGAATTTCTTCAACAGGTATACTGGTGATAAGATGTTCTAAATATGTACTTCAAAACTTAGATGTAATGAAAAATTGCATTTTCTAGTGACTAATTTAAATTTCAGCTGCTTTTGGTCTTTGACACTGTTTTTAGGAGTTTGGTTTTAGTTCCCAGTATTAGAAATTTTTCTTACAGACATGCTATGCCTGAAAGTTTTAAGAATTAAACTTGCTGGAGTAATACTAAAACAAGTAGGGAACAGGTGAGATGGAAAGAGTATAAACAAAACTCCATGACAAATAAACAAATAAGGAAACCTAAATGAGTGAGGACACAGAGCAGAGCATGGTGGGGGCAGGGAAGAAAATCTGTCTGTAAGAGGCATCCAGCTCTCCATCTTTGCAACACTCTCACTTATGAATACTTCATTCAAAACTTTAAACACAGGGCTGCAAGTTTGGGTGAAGGCTCATTTCCATTTCCCCTTCCCAGGTAATCTGTCTGGATGCACCAGACTGTCACCTGACAGAAAAACTCCCAACCCTGCATCAGGACCCCTTCTTGAGACCACTGTACTTCCATCATTCCCAAGAAAGACTTGTCTGTCCTGCTCTTATGGATCTTTCTAGGAAATCTGCTGCTTGGACAGCTGCATCTCAGAACATACAACCTCAGCATTCATTATAGCAGTAGAAGTTTAATCTGTGAAAGAGGGGGAAAATCATTCCCTTCATTGTATCTGCATGCATTTGAAGACTGTTCACAGATCGCTTTTGTTGTTAGATTAACCCTTCCTTGTCAATCTTCTTTGCTAGGCTCTGGTTCTCATTCTCTACAGCCTCACCAAACTGGACAAAATAATGCAAAGCAAAATCAAGCAAAGCTTGACTTCCTGAATGTTCTGCAGGCTACCCTCCCTGGACACCACTTGGCCAGAAAAAAATTGCATTTTCTACAATATTTCCATAAATATTAGACTGGGCACTCCTAGATTGTCCTCTGAGGAAGAAGTGACATTGAACTGGTTGTTTCTCCAAGACTTGGCCAAACCTTGCACATGACTGAACAAGCAACATTGCTGATACCTGCAGCTCCGGAGCCTGCTCAGGAGATCAGTGTGTTACAATGTGACAGACAGCAGTCACCAGTGGGCGAAAACATGACATTGTGGGCAAGAAACTTTTTCCGTGTACGTGAAGGGAAGCCTCTGTGTGCACGGCTGTGTCACCAGCTCAGTGTCCAATGGTCACTCTCAGGGCCTCATAAGGAAACCCAGTTAAAGAATTCAATGTCCACCTGAGCCTCAACATGCCCAGCCCTGACAAATTCTGGAGAAAGAAAAACAACAGGGGCTGAGGGTACTCTGTGTGCCACTAATATCTGCAGTACTGAGAGGGCTCTGCAGGGAAAGGTAGAGCCTGGAAGAAGCTGCCAACATTCCCTCTCCCACATTTGTGCAGTTCATCATTCCTGCCTAAATGTATACCTCACACCTGCTCCTATTCAGATCACATCTCCATTTTTTGAGTTCTCATCCCATCTCCAAAGGCCTCACAGCCCCTCTCAGCTTGGTGTCATCTACATATTTAATAGGCAAACACATTCTGTTCTGTCACATAGTGATTAATGAAAACGTGGTCTGGTGCTAGGCCCAAGGCAGACACTGAGGAATGCTGCTGCAGCCATCCCTCTGTTTTAGCAGTGAGCTCTTACTATCTCCTCTCTGGACATGACTTCCTGAACAGCTTTTTATCCTTCTGCTGCAATTCCTGCCAAACTGCCTTAGCCTAGCTTGCTTTTAAAATTAAGTGAATTGTTAATTATGTTAAGTGAAAAGATTTAACTGCCAGGGGCATCAAAAGACTTGCTGAAGTCAATTTACATAGACACAAATCATGTTATCACTACACTCATTATTCTATAATCATTGCTAAGAGAAGGTTAATTTGTTCAACTTCAGCTGACTTCATTGTAACAGACACTTTAATACTAGCCAAGTGAAATGATGATTTTTCAAAAGCACTGAATTCAATTTTACCCTGTCCTTTAGCATGACAAACCCAAATAAGTGCAGGAGAAAACCCTGCCCTGCACATAATCATGAGCAGAGAAGAAGGTGAGGATCAGATCCATTGCCTGCCCAACACAAAAGCAAGATCACCAAAGGGAGTTGGCAGCAGCCTGGTTAAATACAAGGAGTTCAGATAAAAGCTATAAGATTTGTACACATTTTGCCAAAAAAAAAAAAACAACCCATGCCAGGCTCCCAGAATGTTATATGGGTTCAAGAGGGGCCTGAAGACATCCCTGGAAGTGAAGCATTCAGGGGTGCTACAGCTACACCACATTAGCAAGTTGGATCTGTGGGATCAGGCAAGTGGTGGCAACGACATCAGGCTCTGCTGGCTGTTTCTTAGAGGTTGTTCCAGTGCAAGTGCATTCTCAGCTGAGCTCCTGGGCACCCTCAGAAGGGGCTGGAGCAATTAGGAGCTGTTCTGGAGGACACTTTCCAGGTTAGCTTTGACTGGAAGGACTCCACTTCGGTGTCCTAGGACTGCTCTACTGAGCCAAAGCTTCAAAATTAAAATGCTAATGCAGGCACACCCTAAACACACAAATAACAGCGGGTCTGGAAATCCCCTGAGACAAAACTATCTGGGATCTGGAAAAGTGCTTAGGGCAAATCTTACACAAGCCCAGCCTGTCCTTGATGCTCCCAAGGCGCCTGCTGATGGCCCCTGCAGCAGGCAGGGTACAGCCTGCTGGATCCATCAGCCCAGACTGCCAGTGCTGTGGCTCTGTGTTGCAATGCCTTCACAAATTTGTATTAATAACAACAGTTAACATTAAAAATTTGTATTAATAGCAACTGTAGCAACAGTCATTCTTCTGCATCCACGGACATACACATCATTTTAGATCTCCCTGCTATAGCAACTCTCTGTTCTTTGCTCCAGGCAGACACTAAATGTTATAGCTTACTTCTGCTTCACCTTCTGAACCTTGGATAAGTATAAAAAACTCCCTTTTGACTTCTACAGTCAGTCAGAAAAAAACACATTTTAAGCCCAGATTCTGTAAATATCTTGTTTTCCAGGTGTGACTGGTACTCCCCTGCTTCTGACCTGGTAGCAACCCCTGTAGCATACAGTGACATCAAGCCTGACAAAAACATAACTGTGAGGAATGAAATATGTTTACATTCTGGCCTAACTAGAATACATGAACCAGACTGTGTCAGACTTTCCTCTCTGCTTCAAGGCACCATAACACTGCAACTTGACATGAGAGTTCATCAGTTTATACTTCCCTTTATACATCACTCTGGGCAGTGTTGATGGTTTTGTCACACAGGACAATTTTCCATCATCTCAAAAATAAAACCACCTTGACTATTTATGAGCAGACAGTAGAGCTGCAGAGAGAGCATTTGCAACACCATATTCTGTAATTCATTTCTGTTTGTTATGAAAATCTCC